CGTCGTCGTCGGGTGGTGGCGCCGTTGCCAGGCACGTGAAGTACTCAAGTTCTGAGCTGCGTACGGACGTGAACACGGGTAGCGCCACTCGAGCCAGCGGAGCGTCGATGCTCGCCAAGTCGACGAGGTAGAGCTTCGGCCACATGTGGGCCACCATGCTCGGTCGCGCCAGCAGCTCCAAGATTGCCGCCAGTGGTGCGTCCAGTGCGGCAGGTGGCAGCGCATACAGAAAGGCGACGACGTCGCGTGGTGACTCGAGGCACTGAACAATCAAGGTGAGGGCTTGCGGAAGGTCCATGGCCATCGTGGTCGCGGGACACGTGTGTTGGTCGACGCCATCGTGGCTGTCAATGTTGCAAAATCAAAATAGATTTCCTTGCGCTGAAACTGGTGGTGGTGTTTTGAGCACCGGCCCATTGTTTTTTCGAGGTTTAGCTCGATGGCATTTGAATGCAGCGTCGATCGACAAAGCATTTTACAACCCTACCCGCGCTCTCATTCGAGTCCGAGGTGCCACCTTTTGCATCACGTCGTCCAATCGCCAGAGTGTCTTTTGTGACAGAAGACACTCTGGCGCCGGTCGGTGACAGCGCCCACTCCACGCGCCTAAGGTCAGGCTCGCGCAAAGAGACTAGAGCCGACAGGGCTGCAAGGACAAGCGCCGCATTCTCGCCATGGAAGTCGTCAAGGCTGAGGTGCTCCCACGTGTGAACGAACGAGCCAGGTCGCGTCAGCCGCAGCTTGGTTGCCGCCAACGACGCCGGTGGAAACGTCTTTAGAAAGCCGATGGCATCACGAGGCGACTGGGGGCACTGGGCGATCGAAGTGAGGACGTGCGGAAGGCTCAGCACGGTCGCAGCCACAGTACAAGCGCTTGGCTGCCATGCTTGACAACTAAGCGAATGCAAACGTACGAGCACATGACGTTGGGCCAATCAAATACCGGCACGCTGGCGTCATTTGCACTTGGGACTGGCGTGAGGTCCGCGAGATCGTCGCGGGTCGTGTGGCGCTTCTTGAAAGGCGGCTCGGTGACGAGATTGGCGTCATCGGGTGGCCAAGCCACGGTGCACCCAAGACGACACCCAATGACATTGTATGTGTAGGCTAGAGTTACGACCACCGATAGCGTCATATTCGTTATCGTCGAGCTACGACTCGGCCAAAACGGCAAACGGGTCGTTGCCAGAGTCCGTCGCTGGCGTGTACTCGATGACGTTCAAGATTCTCTGGAGCCGCTCGGGTCCAAAAAGCGACGTGAGGAACGCGCAGACCATGTCCATGCCTGCCGTGACGCCCGAGCTCGTCCAGACGTTGCCGTCGACGACCCAGCGCGCGTGTTTGACCCACTGCACGCGGCCGTCACCGAGCACTTGAATCTCGCGAAATGCGACCTTGTTGGTCGTCGCGCGCTTTCCGTCCAAGAGGCCACACGCCGCGAGGAAGCCCGAGCCTGTGCAGACGCTCAGAACGTACTGCGCACGGGAGCTGTGGTGCTTGATGAAATCCTGGTAGGCAGCATCGTGGAAGAGGCTGCGGCAGCCCTTGCCGCCTGCTTAAACTGTGTATGTCTGCACAACAAAGTCGCGTGAGTGTACCTGGTACGAGGAGGACGTCGAGCGCTGGCGCTGACGCAAACGAGTAGCTGGCAACAATCGGGCAGCCGCCGGTGGGCGGCCGCGAGTACAAGGTGCCGGCCTCGCGCGCGATGAGGATCGTCTCGATACCGTCTTCGAGCTGCTCGAAAAACTGAAGTGGGCCTAGCAGGATGGAGATGTTGTCATGTGGGTGCAGAGAGAGGACAATATGGGGCACGTACCTGCAATGTCCAAGGTCGCAAAGCCCGGAAAGACGAGGATGCCCACGACGAGTTTGCCGTGCGTCGCCATCCTGTCGACTGCCAAAAGAATGGCGATCTGCCATCAATGCACTTGATGTTTGTATATCATACAGCGATGCCGTTTCGCGTATCTTTTGCTCGAATGGGTTTCTTAGCGTTATTTAACAGCTACGATGCTGTAGGTGGGAGGACGTTGCACGGTGACCGTGCTCTGCGCTCTCTTGGTGACGACTAGGACATCATGTCGGCTTATCAATGGATGAACCACTACATCGAACATGTCGTACCCACCGACATCACTAATAGATGGGTCCCGAGCCCTAGACCTAAACCTAAACCTACACAACAGAGCGCGACCACCCTGCTTCAACAAAACACGTCGTGAGCTCTGTGCACATGGCACACCACACTATTCTCTAGCAACGTGACGTTAAATACTGCGTTTTCTACTGCACTGATCGCCTAGTCGGCGTACGAGCCTCGGTGCCACGCGACAAGTCGACGCCGACGATCTCGACTTGACGCTGCACCCACGTCGGCGGTACAACGACGTCGGACCGAACATCCGCAAGAATCGGACCCACGGGAAACGACCGCAGCGCGACGGGCCACCGCGCATCGTCGACACCCACCACGTAATCACTCGGGATGTTGGCGTGTCCTTCGTGGGCCTTGAATTGTGTGAGCGCCACCGCCCACATGGCCCAGTTGACAGAGACGGTGCCATCGATCACGATCACGTCGCTTTCTGCTACCAACGGCGGACTGGTCACGTCCGGTGCGTCATCACTGCTGACGAGCTCCCACTCGAATGATAGCGCCTCGAGCTGCCGGCGCTTGTCGTACGGCAGAACCGCTCGCGGCACTTGTCGGAGCCACGACACAACGCTGCCCAGTGGCATGCCGCCCGGCCAAAACGCATCGTCGATCTCGGTCGGCTCGACATGATTTTGCAACACGCGCAAGTGGCCGTGGCGGGCGTAGTAGGCTGTGAGCGCATGCACCTTGGTCGACCACCGACGCTCGATGTCGAGCGAGAAACGGCGCAGGGTCTCGCGCTGCGTCTTTGAAGCAAAATCATCGTGGACCTCCAGCAGCGTCAACAGGTAGCCTAGCGTCTGCCCGACGACCGACTTTGGCCATTGGGACGACGACGTCAACACAAAGGCGTCGGGCCAGCCCATCGTCGCCTTCCACTGCTCAAATCCTTGACCAATAGCTGGCCAGGCCGCGGCGACGTCCGGGTCCCAGATGAAACCAATGTCGTTCAAGGTCGCGCGCTGGAATGCCGAGAGGAGCGCGCCGTCATGTCGAAGGCTGGCGACGACGGCGCCGAGGCGGAGACCCCAGAGCTTGCGCGGCCACCCATTCTCGCTGTGGGGCACGACAAAGCCCCGGTCGACGAGCGTGTTGTTCTTGCAGCAGCGCTTGTAGATCCGGAGGCTAAGGACGTGCCGGTCAAACGCGGTTTCTTGGTCGCTGGCGTCCGCAAACGGGTCCGAGAGCTTGGCGGCGACGCGGTGGATCTCGCCGTGGGTCATCGTTTGGAGGCCGAGGTAGTGCCCGAGCCGGAGGCCGCGCATCGCTACTGGCCACGCCACGTCGTCGTCGGCCATGGGCACGACGTATGAAAGAGGCACGAGGTCGTGTCCGTAGAGGCTCGCAAACACGGCCTTGGCAGCCATGACATTGGCCCAGGACGTTGACGTGTTGAAGGTAAAGCGAACGCGCTCGAGCTCCTCTTGTCGGTGCGTGGGTAGCTGGATACAGACGAGCCAGACGCGCATGGCGACTTCGCCGAGCGGAATCCCGTCGTAGTTGGCCGACCACGACGGCAAGGACGCGTCGGCCTTGCGCTTGCGGCGCGCGCTCTTAATGACGTACTCGATCGGCACATTCGCTGCGCCGTAGTGCTCGCAGTATCTCGTCAACATGGCGAGGACGTCGGCCCAGAGCGGCACGTCGTACACGGCCCCGAGCGCGAGCGCGGTGCGGAGCTGCGGGTTGGCAGCATGTACGCGTGCACGTCGAGCGTGTGGGCTGCCTGCGCCAAGTCGATGCCCCACGCCGCTCTTGGCCACGAGTCGTCGTGCTCTGGTACGGGCCAGTTCGCAGGCACGTACACGTGGCCGTACAGCTCGCGGTATCGGGCGAGCGCGGAGAGCACGACGGACCACGAGACCATGATCCTGCTGCGCGACCGGGCCCATGAAGCACCGGGCGCCGGGCGGGCGTCTACGTGACACCACACGAAGCCAAGGCCCTCGAGGCGCGTTTCCACGGCCGGATCGAGCTGGCAACTGGCGGCGCGGAGGATCGTGACGGCGGCGCCGAGCGGCTTGGACCGCAGCGTCATGGGCCACGGCTCGGCGTCGGGCACGACGTAGTCGCGAGGAACGTAGCTGTGGCCGTGCAGGCGGCGGTAGATGGCGAGGCCAAGAAGCCGCTCGGCTATCTTGGGCAGCGTCGCCGGGTCCACTGCAATGTCTACGCTCGCCAAGCCCGATAAGGAGAGCATCCTTCCGAGAACGGGTTGGGTAAAGCCCGCAATGTGCCATCCATGCACTTGATGTGTCTATGCCATACACATAACAAGTATCGCGTATCTTTTGATTCGAATGCGGTTTTGAACGTTATTTAACATTGTGGAGCGATGGGGTTCACTGTGCATGTGCAGGCCTTGGACGCGGTCGAGGTATGCAAGCACAATGTCAAAAGTCGTTTGGTCAAACTCAATCCGGTGGAAGCGGAGCGTCTCGAGGTGCGGCCACGTCCATGTTGTTGTGACGAACGGAACAGTTTTGATGTCGCGGTCGGCCAACGAGAGATGCCGCAGGGCGTTCATCGGTGGGAAAGCATAGACGTTTTCGTTGAAAACCAGCTTGTGAGCTTGGCGCCATCCACAAGACACAACAACCAATATCTTGGGGCAACATGAGGTCGATCTTGGCAGCCGCCACTGCGCACTTGTCCAGCCCCACCTCGGAGAGGTGCAACCGTCTTTCCTCCCTTCCCGAGCATCTGACGAGAATGATCGTGATGCACCCACACTGATGGGCTTCTGAAGAAAGGGCAGCACAACGCACGGCCTGCTGCAAGTAAGAACCCAGCGTCTGGACAAAAGATGAACAATCTTGGACATGATTATTGTTTCAACTTGATACAAATACAACGTGATGCGCCACCTGCTAGCAACTCTCTGACGGCTTCATACGCTTGGTCGGCGGGCCGTCTTCATCGGCGCCATCGTCGTCCTCGTCCGAGGCGTGCTTGTTCTGCTCGCCGAGGAACTCGCGAAGCCGTGCAATCTTGGCCAGCGTGCGCGCGCGGTGCCCGGGCCGCACCTCCTCGGGGTCATGGTCACGGTTGTCGAGTCGCTTACGAAACGTCGCCACGCACACGTTTGGGTAAATGTCATGCGACGTGATCGCAACCTCGAGCCGCATCGGAAGGTGCGCTGCAAACGCTTCCAGGGTCGTGCACCACGTGCTTCTCGAGTCCTCGTACCACTCGATGTGCCACTCGCTGTCGGTTGGCGACTTGAGGAACGCCTCAAAGCGTCGGCAGTCGCGGCAGCACGGCGTGAGCACGACGTTCGTGATGGCCAAGCTTCGCGCGTCGCGGTCGTCGGTGGCCAGCACGGGGAGCATCGCCGTCGCGAGCTGTCGTTGGCTCGCCAGCGCCAAGCCAAGGCACGAGGCTTCTGCAGCAGCGGCCACAGAAAGGCGTGGTGCAGCGCCAGCGTCCCACCGATCACTTCGACGACCGATGTGAGGAATCCGTCAATAAGCGTTGGCCACCAGTGTTGCGTGAACAGGACAAGACGGGCCGTCGAGCTCGCTACGTCGCGCCATCCACGCGTCTCGATCGAAACGTTGGCCTGGATGGCCTTGAGCATCGTCGTGGCCATGACCGAGTGCACAGGCTCCTCCAATACGACGGCGTCGTCGTCCAGCGTCTCCAAGAACACCGCCATCGCATCCAATGTCATGTCGCCCCACATCGTCGCCAGTGTTGTCAGCGTCGATGCGTCCAAAGCACCGATGGCCTGGAGGACGTGCAGGACGGCGCTGGCGGTGGCCGCGTCGACGGCGCCGATCGGAGCGATATGGAGCATCGAGCACAGCAGGGCTTCGCACCACGGGACACGGGTGGGCAGGAGAGCATGCAGCGCCGGCGCCACGACACTCTGCGGATGAAAGAGCGCGGCATGATCCGTGACGAGCGTCCTCAAGCGGTGCTCCGACATGTCCTGGACATAGGCTTCCAGGCGTAGCCCGTCGCGGAGGAGGCTGCACATGAGCTCGAGTGTAGTACTGCCGGTGCGCTCAATGTCGATGGGCGAGAAGAGGATGATGTGGGCCTCGACGATCGCAGCACGGGCGTCGGGGCGTGTGAGGCGCGGGCACAGAGGCGCGAGCGAGACACCGGCCAAGCTCGCGAGGAGCCGACAGCCCATCGCAACGCTGCCCCACGTGTCGCGCTTCCAGCAGTGCATGAGCCCGTGCAACGACGGGACGAGCGACTCGAAGCGGTCGAGCGCGGCGTGGATGCTGGGTGCCATGACGACCAAGTGCGCGGGCGCAACGCGGAAGCTGAGCGTGTGCCAGAGCTTTTCGATGAGATGGACGTCTCCGAAGGCGTGAAGCTGGCGGGCGAGTGTTGCCGTGGAAGCCCACATCTCGCGGGTTGCGACCATAGCATCACACGCATCG